ATTTTGCTCATTTATAATGATTATCGACAACACAACAGATTTTTGGTCATTGTTAATAATTATTTGTAACTAAAAACATTGTAGTCAAAAAATACTTCTTATCCTATGACTGTTTTTCATTTTGGTTATAATTGTTATGGTCTCTGGTTTTTCCTCTTTTCTCTGTTACGTGACTTTACTTCAGTCACGCTTTTAAAGACACGTCACTAAAGTGCAGTCACGTTACTTTAGTCACACGTGGTGTTTTTTCTTTTTTCCCTGTCACGTGACTGTAAAAAACGCAAGAATACTTTTGTTTTTTAGTATTTTGTTCTGAAGCGATTGAGACTAAAACGAAAGTGATCGATTCAGTCGGTCTTGAGATATTGCTCCGTGAAAATCTCCTCACTTCTCAATCGCATGAATTTCGCGTATAAGAGGCACTACCGTGCGTTTTGACATGTACGACGTGAATCGAGAAACACATTCTAAAAACGTCCAATCAGCGTCGAGATAAAAGTGGCAACAATCAATATCGAGACAATCGATTCTGATTATTTACACACGCTTTGTCTGGTTAGAATCAATCGCAACATTTTATTACATGCATTTATCTGCTCAAGAATTTTGTTTCTCTTCGGTGACTGAAAAGCCAAGTACAGAAGTCGGGGGTGAGAAAATTCGACGCTGGAATAAAGAGGAGGTGGGGGATGAATCAATCGCGCCTCCTGTCTCGAGATAGCCTCTTCTTTATAAATGAGCGGGGAAAAGGGGCGAGTCGGCGGCTGCAGTTCAGATATTCACCGGTTGATTACCGTCCCGGCGGGGGCCGGGCACGATAGGGAAATTCCCGGGGGAGGACGCTAACTCGACAACTGACAAATTAGCCCGGCGCACCGACGACACTTGCAAAATAGGTCGACAAGAAGATGCCCGTTTTCGGTTTGAATGTGGCGCCCGCCACAGATGAGATTCTCGTAGCCAGTCGTCGAACTCAATTTTACTCGTCGACAGGGTGAACGATGCGCCAGCGGACACCGGTTATCGGTCACGCGAGATTAACCTCCCGAACTCGAAACGCGATTAATTAATCGACGCTATGTCAAGTGAAACGAAATTACCAGCACGAATAACAATGTTATATTTAGATCAGAGAAATAATGTCGATGTTTTATATTATATATCGATGCTTACATATTTGCGTGCGAAGTAAATTATTCAAAAGCCAATCGTGAGCCACTGGAAAATCGACGGAAATCAAAATTGACGTTTCTCCGGAGGGCGGAGACGCGCGTTTGCGATTCTGCGGGAGTGACTCCTTCGACGTGCGGACCCGAGGTTTTTCGAGTTCAGGAAATTTCTCGTTGGAGGCTAAGTGAATTGGAAATAAAAAAAAAAAAAAAAAAAGCGCCGTGCCGGATAAATAACGTCCAACAGCGACGCTCTTGCGGGGTGACGTCTCGCGGGCAATACTTTTCCACATCGCCGTGACGAGAGGCAGGGGGATTGTTATTCGTGCGGCGTAGTGCCTCGGTGTCGCTTTCACTAGAGTCGGTTACTGATAAACGAGCGGTTTCAACCCCACGCGTCGCCCCCTGAATGTAAACTCACCCTGCCTACCCGATACGCTTTAAGCTCTTAGCGCGGGTAAACGCTCGGTGTAAATCGTTTCCGAACGTAAACGATTGTCGACGACAGACCTGAAATTAATCGTCGTGATTCTGGTCGCCGAACGCAGCCAGTCAGATGATTCTGCAAACGAATATTTGAAACAAAACTAAATACGCGTTATGACACCGGCAACTGAAAACAAAACAATACCGAGAGATCAAACTATAAAAGAAAAAAAAATCAAATTTTTAATTTATATAATTGTCTTCAGCTTTCTCCGTCTCTAATGCGATTTTGTAATATTTTTAATAAACGTTCAAATCACAGCTAATTTGTAACTTAATCTAAGATGATTTGCTAATTTAATTTGCAATTTGCGAGAAACATTATAATTTTAATATTCCACTTCACGAGGCGCAAACAAACTCTCTTTAACGAACACATAAAAATGTTTGCTCTCCTATTTATTTCATCTTCCGAGTCATTCCCGTGTAATCTGGAACAACATTCGTCTCTGGCAGAGGTGGGATTTACGAGCGACGGCGGGAGAGAGAGACATCGTCTCAAGCGACGAATAGCACGACAAAATCCAACGGCGTGTTTCGCGTACGTGAGCGGGAGCAAAAGGTGGAACGTCACGTTCTCGTTGCGCGCGAGAATCTCCGGGGAACGATGTCTCAAACGACCACGTGGGACCCAAAACGCACCTGCACCGAATTCGCACGACGACGGAAAAAGTTCTGTCTCATCGTCGATACCGGAGACTAAACCTTTTCGATTCCGCGCGCACACACACGAGCGCGCTCTCCGGTACAGGACGATAAGTTTGTCATAGTCGATTTATACGAGAAGGGATAGCGCGACACACGCTATTCGACACTGGGGACCCACGAAAATATGGCTAATGTGGCTGCTACACCTCGGTCACGTCTCTTTTTTCTTTGCGCTCGTTCACTCCTTAAATCGTAAAGGGAGAGAAATAAACATTTAATCTACGAGACAGAGAGGAAAACTTCTTACGGTTGGAAACGATACACGATCACTTGTTAAATTAAATAAGCGATTGATTATTATCAGTCGAAAAGAGTTGGAAAGACGGATGCGCGTTACGCGAAACAAAGCGCATCAATCCACATTACTTCACCCTTCATCTTTATCTCGCCCTCGTTTTGTTTGCGCTGCGACACGATTGGTATTCAGTTCGGTGGATCCCTTGGATTCATGTAACAGCATCGGGGACATGTGTCAGCCAGGACGCGATCGGTGGTAAGGGTCGGGAATGGCTGTTTAAAATTGCATCGAGGGCTCACCGTTAAGGGCACGTGCGCTTTTTAATGTCCCGACGAATGCTTACGATAATGTCCTTTAAGGTTTTATTAACGGTTATCAAGGTACGTGGCCCGAATGGCCATGGCCGTTCTCACGCGACAGCGCGAGGTAACTTCGATTCTCTACCCACAATACACGTTCCGTACTTTCGAAAAGGTCTTGTCTTATTTTCTCCGATCGAAAAACTACTCGAGCACGCAAAAACCTTCGGAAATATCATCAATTTTTCTTCTTATCTTCTATTCTCGATCCAAAATAAATATACACGCGTTATATATTACTTTGTAAGAATAACCACAAAACATACATACACACACACACACATACACGAGTGTCTGTTTTCTTCGTGATTTGCGTGACAACTAAAAATAGATCGACGCGCGTGTGACCTTCCCGCTCATCTCTGCTCCATTATAGCATTAATGGTGCCGGAGGGTCTCCGATCTCACGGGAATAAAAGTTTTGTCAATGATTAACCGGAAGGTCTGGCTCGTGACTTTGATAAGTCGACAAGAGAGTCATTTCGAGTCCATAAATATATTAAGAATAATTGGAATCCGCCGTCCGATATTACAAGAATGCTTTTTTAATATTTATAAATTACACGCCATAGTTTCCACGTTTGTCGCGAATCGGAAAAATTACAGTTTGAAACTGAGACGAAAAAATAGAATAAAAAATTGTGTACGTAAGAGTTCTAAAATATTTCAGCGATATTCAAAGCAACCGCTCGGGTTTTGTTTTTTATTCGATGATAAACAAAAATCGCGCGCGATAAATCGGACGGGAAGGAGCGGATTCGATGAAGAAGACAAAGACAATCCGTTGAGAGTCGGCAGTTTGTTTGCCGATACGATTCTTCAGCAACGACATAGATCAAAGAGATTAGGAAAAGTCTACACAACAAAATTCGACTGGTACATCCCGCAACATGCGTGCGATTTCTTTGAACTCGAGGTGCGCGATATTACGTCGACAACGTGACCCGAACGATGTCATGCGAGGGTTGTTCGGCCCCAAGTCCCGAAGGAATTTGTCTGTCGGTCAGTCACCCCTAAGAATGTCACATACGAGCGTGCAATCACGTGTTTATTACATGAATGTACGGCGCGTCGCGAGGCATTACGCCGAGCGTAATTTTACCGAATGAACATTTTTAACAATATTTGTATTTACGCAGCACTTATTTTGCACGCCGATAAAAGGACCAAACGAGAGGGATTTCTGACCTGGTTGAAACACATCTTCAATAAACCCGCAGGTGAATCTCGCGCATTGACGTTGGCTCAATATAGAGAGGTTATCTTTAGTTCTGTACATGTTTGCGTATGCTTGCGTGCGTGCGTGTGTGTATGTGTGTGAGGGAAAACTTAATCTCAAATCCGCGTGTCGTGCGTGATAAACTAGTTACATCCCAAATTTCTGATCGTCACGCTACATCACATGACGTAAGTCATCTGTAAAATAACATGTTTCGCAGAAGATGGAATCCACGAGGCTGCCACGATCATCGATCGTGCGGCGGCGGCGGCGGCGGCGGCGGCGGCAACAACAACAACGCTCGTCGATCGTCCGGAAATAGGAGCTCCCGAGCGACCGGTGGACCTTCGATCGCGCGAGGTCGGCGTCGTTAATCAAAAATTGACTAACTCGAGCGCGGCGCGATCGACGACGAAGTTCGAAAACAAAAACCGGGTCGAAAAGCGCGACGACGACGGATCCGCGATTCAACAGTTGACGATTTACGCCTCGTCGGCTCGAGCCGACGTCGGAAAAACCGTCGCATCCGACTCGCGGCACGGCAAGACGCATCGATCGACGGAGAGAAACGACGAGCTCGCGGCGAGACATGACGTTCTCGAAGTGGTCGCGCGTCATTATCGTTATCACACGAGCTCGAGACATTGTTTTCGCCTGCCGCTGCGAACGAAACAACCGCTTCTGGGATCGTGCGCCCTGAATAGAAACATCGGTGTGCCTACGCGCGCGATCGCGGGCGAATTCGCTCCCAGGGATCCGAAATCGCCGTCGATCCGTGAACCGAACATGCCCGAAAAGAAGAACGAGAAGAAGGAGAACGAGGAGAAGAAGGACAAGAAGGAGAAGGAACCGGTAATACGTACGGATGGCGAATCTGTCGATAGTAGCGAGAGCCGAGCGGCGATGGTAGCGGACGATAACCCGAGGGGCGACCCCGACACGGCGTTTCGTTACGAGTGGGGCGTGAAACTCGCCGGAGAACCGGCCGCCGCCGATAACGATAACTTCGCCGAAAAGGGCCAGCGATACTTCACGAAGAGGCTTTGGGGAGTGAACGTGAAACAACCGAAGCCGGATGTCGGAGATGCCGTTCCGCTGACGTTCGTGAATCCCGGGAGAGGCGAGGAAGAAGACGATCGAAGAAACGCCTCTCCGATCGCCGAGAGAAACGATACCGACGAGACGGAGAGCAACGATTTTTTCTCGACGCTAAACGCGAAAGAGACAACGTCGAGCTTGAAGGGCACCACCGCGGAGTATCTCTCGACTCCGTCGGATCGGAGCGACTTGTCGGACGACAATTTAATCGCGGCGCAACAAGAAACGAGCGACGAAAGCTCGCCCGCGAGCTCCGAGAACCTTCGGGAAGTCATGAGGACGTCGCCGGACGCGCTGGCGAAGGAGATCGACGAGAAGAAACAATCGGAGTACAACGTTCCGGAAGACGTGGCCGAGGACGTCGAGATCTTGGCCTGGAGGAACGTTGTAACGAAATCGAAAATAATTTTCGAAGAGAAGGAGAATCTTTCGAACCTGGCAATCATGTCTATTCGTCCGGAAGCGCCGCAGCCGAAGCTGGACGTGAAAGTTGTGAAATCCATCGCGGATAGCGAGAAAGACAAAGATCACGTCGAACACAAATTCACGGAGATCAAGAATACCGCTGATGCGCGGAAACCAGACGGTTACCCGTTCGGCAGGAAATTTCATACTTGGAGCGTGCAGATTCGTTGCGCGCATCGGGATGCGAACGGTGTCATCGCTCAACGGGGAATTGGGTCGCTTCCGATGAATTATGTTCCTCTCTCTGCGCATCCCGCGAATTCTATACGAAGACAGATGAGCCATCAGCCGAGCGCACAACAGACCGCGGATTCGCAAAGCGATGAAAAATCCACGTCTTTAAGTGAAAATCGGGACGAAGCGGACACGCTCAGCGAAACGCTAAGCGTTATCGCGAACAAAGAAATGGAGATTTCTTATTCGAAGCGGTCGGAAAATGCTGATCGCGAAGAAGAAATCGCTCGTTCGCTCGCGTCTTTTAAGTCCAAGCGAAAAGACGACGACTCACGCTTCGAAGACGAGAATATTGCGAACAAAACGGACGGCTACGAGAATTCCTACGGTAATCCCGTGGAAGACGAAGACCCTACGAGCTCGAATAACTCATCAATTGATAACGATGTAATCGAATCGGCAACGATCAACTCTAAATTGGCTACGGAGGATTCACATTCCTCAAGAAATGACAGGAACATCAATTCAAACGACGACGATCCGAGCGAGAAGTACATTACTGTCGGTGATTATGCGCGACTACCTGACGATCCTTATCCCTACAGCGGGGAACATCTGGACAAATGGCGCGTGCCGCATACCAGAAGCATCGTCGTTCGCGAGCCGATCAAGCCGGAAACGTCCTTCTCGTCTGATTTTCCTTCCATCGCTCGGCCAGTCCCGGGGAATTACGCTAATGACGCTTATGCAAACGCCGCCGAGCAGTCGCGCGATTCTCACGCGCCTGGAACGGAGATCTCAGAAAGCGGCGCAAAAAGCACGACGGAACGTGCGAGCGGATTCCGCGTGTCCTCTTCTCTTCGGGATCAGCGGGTGGCGCCGGTTGATTGCCTGCGCGGCGACGATGCCGCGGACGCGCTTGGATCGCGACTACGGACGGGAGTCTTTTCGCGCCTCGACGCGAGCGCGAAGATAAACGAGCCGACGCGAGGCGGCGGCGACAACGCGTCGCTGCGTGCGTATCATTAGTGGGATTCCGCTGCAAATTTTCGCAGCGTAACTTCCGGCGAGCGCCGTGCCCGCCATTGCAAGCACCTTTGCATAATGCGAATCTCCCGGTTAATTAGCACGAGCTCGTTGCGACGTAACGAGCGTAGAGGTTCCGCAAACTTTATTCCTTCGGATCGCGCACCGGTTTCCGTTTCGTTTGATTCTTGAACATTTCAAGCGCGAATTATTATTCGATAAATGCAAAGTTGACGGAGAATCAACAAAAATTTCACGTATCTTTGAAACGAATCAAAATGTACCAATGTATCAATGAACCGCAATGTAACAAGTAACACGTAAATCATTGTGTCGCAAAAGAATTTAGAATTATATTGTAACGAGATATTTTCTGCCACAATGTAAATAAAAATTGTGTCAATATCAACGTAATCGGTTTCATCGTCGCGTCATAAAACTCGCGTGTATCAGTCGCGATGCGCAATCGTTATCGAACAAATTATTCCACAAGTTCTAACTAATTCAGACTCGTAAGCGGCTTCCGTCGGTCCATCCGGCTCGGCTTTCTCAGAGCGAAACGCGCGTCCTTCGCCCCCTGAAATTATTCTCTCCACTCCCATAAACACGTTCGCCTTCTCTCGCGCTTACGATTAAAAGCGGATAGGGAATCGAGCGGAGGGCCCTCACGAAAATTACCGTATACGGCCGCGCGCGGTTAGCTCGTCCTAAGAGCTTTTTTGATCCACGGGACGATCGGGCATTAATCCCCCCGGCCGACGCACCTGTCGAGCAACGAGAGAGAAGAAAAAGGAGGAGAAGGAGGAGGAGGATGGATAAGGTTCGAGAAACGACCGGCTAGGTCGTTCAATTCAGACACGTGTACTTACGTGTACCACCGGTGTACATGCCCGCGTGGTGGACTTGGGGGCTCTTCTTCGGACGAGAGCGGACGAACTATCGACCCAGCCGCGCCGGGGATGTGCGTGTCTACCGGTCACGAACGCGGCCGCTCTCCCGCCCGGAGGCTGTTATTTGACCAACCGACGGGATCTCCGAATCGTCGACCCCCTTCCCCCCCCTCTTCTATCTAATCATTCAAATCGCAGGCGTCCTGCCGGTCTAATCGGCGGTGTGTACGCACGCGGGACCGCGTCCGGTGGTAACCCTTCGCCGAGAGGGTGTCGGAACAGAATTCTCCTCCTTTGAATCGCAACAGAGAAAGGAAAAGAGAGAGAGAGAGAGAGAGAGAGAAATCCGAGGAGATCTTGGCTACTATAGCATCGCGATACACGTAGCGATATATACTTGGCTACCATACGCGGCTCCTATAACCATCGCCGATAATGGCAGACCCCGTGGCCCTGATTACCTTCGCGCGCTGGCAGAAGACACTGGCGGGGAACGTGGTTTAGCAGCCTCGGTTTAGCAGCAGCTGGCCGTGCGTGCCACTTTCCCGACCGACCGACCGATCGATCGCTCACCCCGCCGCTGCTGTCATTTGCTCTTCGACGGAGCGGTCCTTCGCCACGGATGCTCCGCCGCGTCTAACGGAATACAAAGATAATGAGCGTTGAATGACGCTGCTCGAGTTAGAAACCAGCGCGCGGATTCCGCCTCCTTGTCGAACTGATCACAGGCTGTGATCGATAAGAATCCGCCTTTGATTCTCAGCGAGATCGTTTCTACGTGCCCGCTGAGCGGATCTCGGATAAACGAAAATGACACCGGGAAATGATTATGTAACGCAATCGACCGCGTCAGACTTCATTTTTCATTTCTGTACTTTCAGTCTTAATCTTCCGCTCTCTCTCTCTCTTTGTCTTTCGATAAGAAATCGGAGCGAGCGTATTTGTTTCGGAGAGGCGTTGAGAATGACGCAACGCGCGAAACACTTGAAACTTTATTAGTCCTGAATAACCGTGCGACTTTCTCGCATTCGTCCCGCTCTAGAGACTGTCGAGACTCTCTTGTCGAATGACGATTCAACAACCCGAGCTTAGACCTGCGGGATTGGCATTGGTAGCAGACACGGTTTTATTTACGACTAGAATTCGCTGACTGCACCGAGTTCGCTCCTCCTTGACCCTCTCTCTCTCTCTCTCTATTTCTCTCTTTCTCTCTCACTTCTCGCTCTCGCCGGGGTTAGAGAACGATCCTATCTCTTTTGCGAGACGTAGTCTGTGCGCGGATCATTCCCTTCGGGGTCTCCCGCGCAATAAAAGATCGCCCTACGGTTGTATATTACTCACGCCACCGTGTTTTCACTTGGCGCGGCGATCGTCGCCGATATCATAACTCCTTGTCGTACCGTCGTTCAGCCGGCAAATCTACACGGCGACGAGGCCTTCTCCCGGATAGCGATAGCAATACCCGATATAACCGTTGCGAGACGGAACGTCACTGACGGATGAAACGAGCCCTTCCATCTCGAGGGCGTCAAAAATATGACGAATTTTCTGCGTCTCTCGATTAAATCTGATAGTTTCTTTTTAATATTTCTGATCTCTCTCTCGTGTGAAAAACGCGCGCGAGTTTAACGCGC